TATTTTTTCCGTGTAACGAAAATTTGACATTCTTGAAGCGAACATTTTTTGACGGGATCGCGCTGAAATCCTGCAAAGATTGAAACGGGATCCAGACAAGATCATACGAGGATCCCGGTGTGTTTAGAACACGGTTGCAGGAAGGTTGAGCAAGCTTTCCTGCCACTTATCTGATTGTCACTACGTTCTTCCGGTCGTTTTAATCTCTTTTCCACCAAATTTCATTATGTTTTACTCGGTATTTTCTTCAAGAACATGAAGTAATTAGAGATTTTCTCCTAGAGCACCTTCTTCAGAGTACGCAGCAATTTATTTTCTTTGTTTTGAGCTTGAAACCCCGTTTCATTCCATGCCACAAAGTTGAACTAGCATTAGTTTGCTCATCTAAAGTGTGATATTGTTACGTTGTACTGCGTTAAAAAGTGAAGAAATGACTAATTGACTTGTATTGTATATCTGTTATATACGTTAAAAGAGAATAAAGAATAAACAGCGTGGACGATAATCAGAGTGCCCAAATCTCCTGACTTTTTGACTTTTTTCCGGATCAAAATTCTCCTAATTTCAGGAGCTGATTTTCTCCTGGTTTCTCCTGATTTTCAATTGTTTCCCTGTATCGATTTTAGCGACATTTTGGACCAATAAAAAAGCGGAGAAGAAAAAGAGAACTGACGTGCAATACAGTCATGTTGCACAAAAAACCACAGACGGTGTAGCAAACAGTTTGTTCTCTATATTCGCTTTGTTTTTCTTTGGTTCTTATCGGTTTCTTAAGAAATATTTGTCTCTGTTTTGTTTATACTGTTAAATCAACAGCTGGGAAAATACCAGTAGGATACATTACATGTAATATCTTTCTCTCCTTTCCTTTGTTTCGCTTGTAAGACAGACCTTCTCATTACTTGCTTGGTAGAAAAAAGTCGCATATGTTTGTAGGGATGAAAATTTTCTTGTCCAAGAAAAAACTGCCTAACACTGCTGTTTTTCTCCTGATTTCGGAAAAAAATCTACTAATCAACTCCTGATTTTTTACGAAAAACTCCTGATTTCTAAAAATTGGATTTGAGCACCCTGACGATAATATACGCACACGCACACTGTCTGTCTGTTTTTCTCCTTTTATCGACGGATAGACGAAATAAAAAACATTACATCGTTACAGACTGAGACAGAGAAAAATACAAAGTCAGTGTGATCCCAGTTTCGTGCAAGCATTGATTTTGTACTTTAATAAATTAAGAAACAAAATATAATAAAAAATTTTCCTCAACGGTGGGGAAAGGAAATCTCCCCACGATCGTGTCTCGAATTAGACACGATCTTGCTATAATCCTTCTGCGATCCCGTCACACTCTTGAGACACAAATGAAACGGGATCGCATAACGAACTTGATCAAGAACGCGATTACAGTTATAAGATCGCGATTTTATTTTGCCAAGATCAGCATTTTTTCGTTACACTGGAAAAAATCGGGTGCGCGATCAGATCTCAGCAAGAATACACTGGGAATACCACTAGGGAACATTCACTTTGTGAACTTATTTTATTCTATGTCTGAAGTCTACAAAGACACGTTTTTCTAAGCATAGGCGTAAGTACGGGGCGGGCCATTGGACCATGGCCCAATGCGATCTGAGTATTGACTCAACAGAAAATTCTTTTTGAATGTTCGGCCCAAAGCTTTTCCTTCACCTACCAATTGTGAACAAAGTGTGTGCAAAGTGTGTGACACGAAAACGAAATCCAAGTCCAGAGTAAAGAGGCATGTGCTTATGTTTTATTTCTTTGCATATTTGGTGGTCAGATTACTACAGTTCAGGCTTCCCTCTGCATCCACTATGGTGCAGAATGCCGTATTGAGAACAGTCCATAGCCATGGTAACGAACAGCACGGAAGAACTGGCAACAGTCGAAAAGATTTCTTGCCTAAACAGGAAACATTCGGTCCACCTAGATCCACCGAGTTTTTCTGACTCTATGGAGCACGGCCCCATCAGCCTAAAAATCCTGGTTGAGTAGTAGCGAGCGGCCCTAACCTGTCTTGTCCAAGCAACCGCTAATTTTAACCCTATTTTTAGTTTATATCTGCTTTTTAACTTTTATAAGCAGGATTAAAATATTATGTTCCCGAAGTGACCGGGTAAAACATAGTGAAATCAGTATGTCAATTACCTTAGGAAACACTTTATTTTGAGAGATCTCGTATCATAAGTTTTTGTTTTTCACTCTTTCTTTATATAGAAATCGCTACATAAGAGTTCACCGACATTAAGATAAATTATTTGTTGGATTTAAAAATATAAAGTGTCCGATTAACTCTTTTTAAAAAGCCCTTGTGGCTTTTTGCTCAAACTGGAAAATCCTTCGCTACCTGAAAAACCAAAAACGATGTTTCCCAAAACCAAATGTGTTTAGGAAAAAACATCAAGTACGTTCTCTAGGGTCAATGGCAAAATCATGAAATGTTTAGGAGTAGCTAGCTGTAAAAGCTTCAAAAAAGTTTAATGGGCGCAAAATTTTCGAAGTCTGTATTAAGGACATTCCAAGATTTAGATACATTTTCACAGCTTTTTCTGAAATCTTCCGAATACTTTTTCGGTTCGAAGAGATTTTAATAGTTAAAGCTAAATGTTTACGAGATATAAAATAAAGGTTGTAGTGAAGAGAAAATAATGAAATCACCTACTGTTACGCGTACAATATTTTAAGAACAACTTTCATGTGGCTATTTGATCAATCGAGTATCAAAAACGTCAGGTTAAGCACTTCTAAAATAATGGCAAATGCATTTGTTTAAAAATACAAGTCACATGATGGACATATGAAGAAGAGAATAAATTTAATTTTGATTGACATTTCTTATTAATATTGCACGTAAAACACAGTTTAAACAAGTGCGAATTGGATGCATCTAACAAAGGATTATAATTGGATATTTTTCGTTATTGAATGACAAATACTCAGAAATGATCTAGTTATAAACAAACGAACAGTTAAATACTAACCGTACGTTGTATTATTTAATAGGTTCTGAATTATTCATTGATGTATGATTTATCAATACGTATTGACGCATTTAATTAGTTTATAATAATAATTATAATTTGCATAGGGTGCAGTGAATTGAAGAAATAAGCGTGTATTAATCACAATCTATTGTACTCATTTAGCTAGGTTACCTCCTATATCTAATTTACTCAAATAATTCGAGCATTATAACAGTTTCCTAATACATGGTGACTATTTTTAAGCAAGCTTTACTAATCAGATGCGAGAATTAATTTTTTATTTATCAAAAGAGTTTGATTTACCATCCTGCAGGATTTCTACAGATAATCCTTATATACACTGTAAAAAATAAAGTGTGCCCGATAGTGTACATTCCCCCAAGTGTGCATTTCGAGTCCAAAGAAAATATATGCAAGAAGAATATATACCAATTTAATACCAAATTAATTAGTGAACAGACAACAAAAAGAATATTTGAAAGCAAGAATAGAAAGTATTACACATAGCTAGATCGTCCGATGAAGCGAAATAATATGCAGAATTACAGTTTAATGTTTGTCAATATTGTCGATCAGATTAAAAGAACCATAGGAAATATTTGTTCAAATGCAGTGAGTATAGAAAGTATTCCATTTTGTCATAGTATGCGTAGGTCACATTCGCGAAGAAGTTAAAAAAAGTTTATAAAGCCGCTTCGCAGGGAAGTGAAAAACATAATATGCGGAAAAAAATTGTTGTTGTTGTTGTTGTTGTAAAAATTTCTTGGAACTGTGTGCGGGTGGGGGGCAGGCACAGTGTGCATTTTTCCATAGACCAGGCGGACATGTGCAGTCCGAAAGTCTACAAAAACTTCTTTTATAGGTTTTCAGATATGCTCTTTCCAACGGTGTGCTTTACAAAGTCCAAAGAGACTTTCATCTGGGTTCTCCAGAGATCGGATCTCTAGAAAATCTACACATAAGTATTCTGGAACTTTATAAAGCGCATCATTGGAAAGAGCATATCTGAAAACCTATGAAAAAAGTGTTTGTAGGCTTTCGGATTGCTTTTATAGCCAATATCAAAATCCTTAGCCAGATTGTCACGCTATGCTTCGGCTTTAGCGTTTCGTTAGATCCAACAAGTTTTTGCTCAGAGAAACCTACTAATTTCATATCATTCGATGTAGTTTATAGTGCGTACTATGAAAAAACGGATACTTTCTATACTCAGTGCATTTGAGCGAATACTTTGTATGGGTTTTATAATCTGATCGACACCATTGACAAACGTTAAACTGTGATTCTGCATATTATTTCATTTCATCGGACGATCTAGCTGTGTATAATACTTTCTATTCGTCTGTGTGCATTCATTGTGCCTCGCGCACACTTTATTTTTTATAGTGTATGCTCGAATACTATGGAATATTTTTGCTTGAGCTCAATTAATAGATTGCACTATATTATGAAGTCGTTATTCTTATTTTATTATTTTATTATGGATCAGTATACTAAATATCTCGATGCTCTAAAATTCTGTATAACAATCATGAATTCTGTTTTAGTTGGCTCGTTCGGTGGGATAAAAGAGTTTTCATTTAACTTTTGTTTTCAAACTAGAGATGTGCAACCCTACCCGCACCCGACCCGAAGGTTGGGTACAGGTACTAAGTTGTCGAGTACGGATCCGGTACAGGTAGAGCAGTTACGAGTAAGGGTTCTATTTTTTTTTAATTTACCCGAAAACCGGAGGGCTTTAGTGGAAAACATACAAAATTTTAGTGAAAAAATACAGGAGTTTAGCTAAAATACATGAAGGTTTAAAAACGAATTACTTGAGAACGTAATGATAATTTGACATCTTCAGTCGAATAACGAAAGTTTTTAGCTGGAAAACAAAAGGGGAAAAATGTTTCGACATAAGTCGGGTATGGGTCAGATACGGGTACAAAGTTGTCGGAACGGGTACGGGTAGAAAAAAAATTTTCCGGTCGGATACGGGTACAAAAATGGTACCCGTGCACATCTCAATTTCAAACAAACGCATTGATTTTCTAGATAATAACAGTTATACGTTTGCAATGAATATAATTCATTTATTAATACTACCATGTATTGTTTATGGGTCAACAGACACAACATGGGACTATGGCGCACTTGGACCTGATATGTGGGCTGAAGCATATCCATTGTGTGGAAATGGTATGAATCAATCTCCAATAAATATTGTAACATCATGCACCGTATATAAACAATTTCAAGAATTTAATTTTTCAGTCGGATATAACGAATTACTCAATTTTTCATTAACTAATAATGGACATACCATCATCGCTGAATATGGCAATGGCAGTGTGAGTAAATTGTTAGTATCAGGTGGAAATCTTGATGAGGGTATGTTTGAATTACAAAATTTTCATTTACATTGGGGTTTGAATCCTCGTCAAGGTTCAGAACACACCATCGACGAGAAAAAATATTCTGGTGAAGCTCATTTTGTTCATCTTAACCATGTAACATCACAAATAGCTGTGTTGGGATTTTTAGTTGAAGGTGTTGAACATTTGGAAAATTCTGCTTGGACGAAATATATTGATGTAGCTAGTGCATTAAAAACCACGGGCAATACAACGATGTTTACTGCTAATCTGACATCTTTGATGAATAATCGTTCTAATTCGGACAATTTTTTTCGTTATAATGGATCACTCACTACGCCACCTTGCACAGAAGGTATTATATGGACAGTATTCAAGACTCCTATTCAAATTCGCAACTCAGACTTGGAAATGTTACGTGCCAATCTCTTTGCTCAAGATTTTCGAGAACCTCAGCCAAAAAATATGCGAACAGTTTATCGTAGCGTCTTTCAACAAGAATCTTCATCTCGAGCACAAGATTACTGCTGTAATACGAGAAAGAAAAGATCATTATTTAGTGGTGCTGTCCTATCTTATTCTTCAATAAAATATTACTGGGCCATTATTATTTTTACTTATTGGTTCAACGGTTTATTTTAATATATTCTCTCTCATTTTGTTTCAATTTGTTTTCATTTTGTGATATCCGGTGAAGTTCGAGACATGATAATTCTTTATTCTTTAATAAGTTATATTTAATTATCACATGCAATACTTATGCTTGTATCCACACATCTGTATAATAATCCTCATCATTTTATTTATTGTACAAACAAGTTTAATTATTCTGATTTCAGATGTTTTAATCTATCCTATGTCATTTTGTTCTATCATCAATTATTCATTTTTATTAAAGATTAATAATTATCTTACGAGGGAACCTCATCAGCTGATACCCTCTGTTTGAGCTCATACTCTACTCATAGGTAGGACTCATAGTGTAGATAAAAACTCTAAAAGGATTCATCCCCTTGACTCTTGAAGACCTGGTTTTCTGGAAAACCAGTTTTTCAGAAACTCTAAAAAATA